TGAATTCATTTACTACTTGCTTTTGAGTAAGGCACCATTACAAATTAACTGAATAAGATTCTGAATGGTTGTATGAGTTAAGGGATTCCTTTGGCTAATAGTTATGAGTACGTAACAGGTTATAGATTAATTTATTATTTTGTGGTTAAGATTAGATCCTTTTCCATTTATATTTGGTCAAAGCATGTTATTTCAATGTAACTTATATGCCCTGCTATTTTAAGCTCAACACGTTGACCTAAAGTGGGAAACGATCTAAAAGAAGTGAAGTTTATTCAGTGTTTTTATTTTCAGGTATTGCCTCAGGAATATAAAATAAACTAAGCCAACCACAAAATATACTTACATCTAGCTGTACCTCTCCTAGCCAGTAAAAACGAAACATAAAGTAATTTTGTTGTAAGACCCAAATGTACTGTGATAAAACTTAGAATGAAAAGTACCGAAAGAATGTATCAAGTTTAATTCTAGCAGAAACTTCAATTTAATTTGTAGGCACTAGATAGAGATCTAACTCAGGCTTCTTCTTTTACAGTATAGGTCTACCTTATGCAAGTTTTCATCCAGAACTCAAGAAGATATAATTGTGGAAGCACCAAGTTTATAAGATAAAAAGCAGTTTATTATTTCAAGCATCTCTGCTGTTTATCTCATTGACAGTCACTACACTGCAACAATGATAACCATTAAAGGTATGTGTATAGTTTGATGAATATGTGTTGCAGTGTTATATTATTTGTACTATTTCAAATGTATTTAATACGCTTCATAACCTGATACACCGTAAAACAGAAAGAATAACTAACATCTGAAATTGACTACAGACTACAATTCAATACATTACACAAGTAAAGTTGAAGCAGTCAATCAGGGTTATTTCAATTCAAAACCAGTATCTGTTCAATCCTTGTTTGCTTATTGCTTATTGTACAAGTGTGGATGTGGAGAGTTTCATTCAGTTTAGTTATTTCTTTGCTATTAACGTGCTTCATATTTTGATACATTATGATGCTCTGAGGAAGGCATTTACGAATTTTTAATGAATTTTTTTGCAGTCCAATTTCATACTGTAACCATGAACTACATGTATATTATAACAAGAGTACATTATGTAAATCTCTTAAATGCGTAACATTCACAATAAGTGTCTTAAAGTGCCTTGCAGTATTTTACTGTGAAGTGCGGTGACACTATATTTGTAGGTGAATGCGACACCCAACTTGTGCACAGGAATGTCCCACAAAGTGCCATAAAGTGTTTTGTTTGGGGGATAACTGCCCAGAACACCGGGAAAAACTTCTCTTTTTATCTTTTCGAATAGTTCCATGGGATCTTTAACATTCACCTTAACAGGCAGATGGGACCTCAGTTTAACGTCTCTTCTGAAGGACGATACTTCAAACAATGCAGGACACCCCTAGCACTGCACTGAAGTGTCAGCCTAGAAATGGTAAGAAAATCTGCGACTTTGAGCCCACAATATTCTGACTGGCATGCGACAGTGCTACCGACTGAGCCAGGCTGACTGCTACTCCCTTGCTCCCTTGCCTCAACTCAGCACTATACAGTATTAAGTAAAGTCGGCTTGCATTGCAGCAGTAAAATAAACAGACTCCATATTGGGTAATGGCTAAAGCCAAAGGCTTACCAGCTGTAAGAGCACAATCATCAATTCAAAATCCAGATGTTTGTCTACAGTCCAAGTGCAAGTTTCTTCCACAGCACTGCAGTATAAGTTTTATTCATGGAATGTTTTCTGAAAGCAATTACAAGTTCTATCACAGAGAACATAACTCCACGATTCTTTTAGAAACTATTCTCTGAAGAGTTTATTCTCCAACTAGGAGAGAAAATCTTTTTCTCTCCTAGTTGTGGTAAGGTGAAATACTTGAGACATGAGACACCAACTCCTGAGAGTACCAGTCTGTCTCCGTCACAGCCAGGTGAGAGTCACATGCAGAAACATATCACCATGTTTGAGAGTATCCAAACCAGAGTTCCACATATATATAATAATAATCCTTGCATTTGATATAGCGCTTTTCATGTCTTCTAGACGTCTCAAAGCCTTCACAGAATATACTGTAAAGTGAATTGACTGTACATTTATGGACGAAACGCGGCAGCCAATTGCGCACTGCAGTGTCCCACAAACAGTCGTGGATTGAGTGGCCAAATTGTTATTGCTTTTTTTTCTTGAGGGATTATTATTAGGCACGTAGAGTAAGGAAACTTGCCCAAAGTTTCACCCTGCTGGGAATCGAACCCGGGTTTCTCACTTGCAAGGCTAGTTCTCTAACCACTGAGCTACAGGACTCCACAACCACTGAACTACAGGACTCTGCGTATGCCACCTACATATGGAGATTTCCCTGTTTCTGGATTGCAATACGCACTCTCACACTCTCTCCCTGGAAGGACACACGATGCTTACCTAATTCCGAAGAATAGTTTGCACTAGTTGGCAAGAGCCAAGTTTTGGGGACCCCAGAGTGTATGTGTTTTGTTTTGGTCAGCAAGGCTTCTGACACATGCAGAAACCCATCACCATGCTTAACAGTATCCAGACCAGACTGTGACGTCTATGCACGTATGCCACCTTCATTTGTAAACTTATGTGTCAGGGATGTCATTTCATTCTCTCTGTGGAGGTACATACCCTGCTTATCTACTTGCAGTGAGTATTACATCAATAATTTATATTTATATAACGCATTTTAAGTTGGGAGGAAGTCTCAATGCGCTTTACACAGCTCAGAAGCAGCTAAGCGTGATCTAAGGCTTAAGGGTTCCAGCATGTGAGTTAGGGTATTACTGGAGTGTAACCAGCTAAAACGACAGAGCTTGCCATTGCGTTTTGCCCACAAATATACGGTCAATTCATTTTACACTCAATTCTGTGAAGCGCTCTGAGACGTCGAGAAGACATGAAAAGCGCTATATCAAATGCAAGGATTACTGTTATTATTATTAAGAGCACTGTCTGACAAGCTTCCCATTGCTTGTCCAGCTAGGACCACGCTACTCATTAGGGCCTTTGCTTGTAAGGTTAACAAGAGCTGAATGAAAAGAATTCCTGCTCCCAGTCACAGTGATTGCTGTCTGGAACAGTTAATGCCAATAGATCATGAAACAAGAGTGTAGCAATAGGACCACATATAATGCACCCATATAGAAACTTTAAAGTATAACCTGGACTATTTGAAAACTTCAGGAGTAGCGAATGCAACAAGTCAAGGTTCAATGATTTAAAAAATGCCACTGAAAATGAAGAGCCAATATGTGCACTGTACTCAGTAGGTACAAAATCCTAGCTCTACTGCAAGAGGAGATAGAGCGATATTATTATATTATGCCTTTTAAGTGAACAGTGAATATCTCTGAAAATTAATTGCCCAGGTAGGACAGTCTACGTTATGCAATTAAACATTTGCTGCACTTGCCATTGTACTATTACTGTTCGAATGTTCCCTTATAACTTCCAGAACACCAACACCACTGGAATATTATTTTGTTAATATTCTATGAAAACATTTTTTGCAAGCAAGCTATCCCAAATATTGAAGGCAACTAATAAAATTGTCTGGTATCTCTTGGCAATACATGAGCAAGTAACTGCATGTTTGCTGACATCGATCACAGGCTAAATGTGAGACAATGCCTCAGTGTTTATTTAGGTGGCAGCGGTTTGGCTGGTTAATCTGGAATCTTTGGCGGCCTCCCACTAGGTCATGCGTGTGGGTGGCCTAGTTTGCACTGCAGCTGGTGGTAAGACACAAGTGCCTGCCTCTCTGTGCACCAATCCCACTAAAGTCACTGTTGTTTTAATGTTGTGGTTTATAGCTTATTTAGTCCTTATAACAACTGGAAACCTGTCTTGCGGGCAACGTTATTACCAGGTTTATGACTCATGATCCCACCACCTGTTACAATGTTCAGTCATTATAGCGCCACTTTTCCACAAAATAAATACTGTAGAGCAATTAAAATAAAACTATGACATACAGAAGGTTATCTTTCACAAATATCTTTTTAAAATCACAAAACAGTAGCAATATTCAAATGCCTGGAACAATGCAATGTAATGTTCCAGCGCCCCGGGATAACTTTCCAACATGAAGGGCGCTATACAAGTGTAATTTGTTGTTGTTATAATAAGACACGTTTCAAAGTGATTTCTCTAGATAAGTACTCAAAACTGTTCCCTTAGAACCAGTTTCATTTTTTGATTGCCAGAAGTAAAAGAATTTTGAGTTAGATGTTCTCAAAGGGCAAAGTATTTATGAGAGGTGCAAGTTTTTTGTACCAATGTACATCAGGACCAAATACTTGCAACAGTTCCGAACCACTGCTTTCTCCTTTAAACTAAGAAATCACACTTAACTCCCATTTATCTTTTCCAGTTTGAGATGGAACAAAGAAAACAGACAATTTATTATGAAATAATTCTGTAGGATCCCATGAATATGTCAACCCAACTTAATGATGTGATGTTTCATGCAAACGTGTCAAGTCCATGATTCCTCCATGCACTGAAGGCGGAATGGTAGAATGCTGATTGTGGAACACGATATGAAAACACTTGTGCATGTATATACAGATAGAGATGAAAATCATATCAATTATCAAATATACTCATTATCAATCATATATGATGGGCATTTTAAAGGTCAGGATTGTGTAAATATTAATCATATTGATGCAGGTAATGGTGATTTGAATTCACTCTTGAACTAACTATCATTAAATATCTGAAGCTGTGATTAATTCTTAAGTGATACAGATGTACATTCTACTACAAATCAACTTCAGGGTTGTGCAAGCCTGGATATCACCACCAAAAGAGCAACTTAAAATTGATGTTTTTAACTAATTTATTTTGTGCATGGAAAAAAGTAAACACCAAACTCTATTTTGGCAAATGATTGCTACTATATCATTTCATATGCTTAAACTGAATGATTGCATTGATGGGTACAAAACAGAAGAAAAGTACTCACAGAGAAATCTTGTAAGACCTTCTCATAAGTGAAATTGAGCATTTCATCTGCATCACCATGTTTAGAGATATCAAAGCTGTAGTTTCTTGTTCTTCCTTCACCTGATGTCAGTGCTTGTCGTAGTTCAGCCAAATATTTCTCTCTTTCCATTTCGGCTTCATTTGCTTCTACAGTCATTTGCGTTTCTGAGACTATCAGCAAAAACAAAAAAAAGGCAGGCAAAATATTTTAAGGAGGTTTTACTATTAACTTTATCGATCTTAAGAATTCTGCAACAAAATAAACTCTTGATAACAAGACATATAACTTATCACAACCAATTAAGTGGTTGACATATGCTATCAATATCCCATTCACTTCCCACAACAAAATGGTAATAAGACACTTTGATTTACTTGTCACTCTGCTTAACATGTTTCTAATTGCATTCTAGAGATTCTTGAAAGTACATACAGTGTAAAATTGATAATTTGTCCTGTAAGATGGTGTCTTGCAATGCCTCCTCCACATTATTGTCCTCAGTAAGTAAGGGTCACTCTGCTGTTGTATATAAGGCCATTTTCTCAAGAAGTTATAGAATGATAGAAATTACATCTTAGGAGGAAGCCATTTGACGTATTAAACCTAAATTAAAGATTGAGAGGGAAAAGATGGAGGGGTTTCAGGATGGAATTCCAGGGAAAGGGATAAGGGGCAGAATAACTGAAAGCTTGTTCACCAATGATGGAGTGGATCAGGCAGGGGATGTGAAGTAGGCCAGTGTTTACTGATCACAGGGAGTTGCTGGGCAGTTGGGTTGCAGGAGATGGCAGAGGTAGAATGGGTCTAAACTATGGAGGCATCTGAAAATTAGAACAAAGTTCTTAAATTTAATTTGCTGGGGGATGAATAGCCAGGTGGAGCCAAGCAAGGATGAGGCTGATGGGCTCATGAAGCCTATTGCTGCGAAGGACATGAGCTGCGGAGTTCAGGATCGTCTGCAGGTTGTGCAAAGATTTGGGGAGTCCAGTGAGGAAGACGTTTGAATAATTAAGCTTGGACATAATGAAGGTGTGGATGAAGCTTAGTGAGTGAGCCCAGATGTAGGGTTTGAAGTCACGGATCAAACAAGGCATAGTGGTTTTGACCAGCTCCGTGAGTTGGAATGAGCATCTATGAAAAGTCGATCCTTTCAGCATCTGAGGTGAGAAGATGCCTCTGTCTGGTTGACATTTAGTTGTAAAAAGTTAGAACTTATCCAACTTGTCTGACAGGCAATTGGTCAGATCAGCATTGATTATTGAATTGAGGACAGAGCAGAGATAGCAGAGATAAGAGAGCAACAGAAATACTACAACAACAAGATTTCATTTATAGAGCGCCTTTCACGTTGGGAGGATGTCCCAAGGCGCTGGACAGTTGGGTTGGGACCCGAGCAGGGGGGAAATGGTCAGGGTGAGGGGAGGGAAGGGAGGGAGCGAGGAGGGGGTAGAGAGTCGAGAGGGGAGCTGAAGGCACGGTTGAAGAGAAAGGTCTTGAGACCTACCTTGAAGAAGGAAAGGGAGGAGGCGGCGAAGGCACTGGGGGATGGAGTTCCAGAGCCTAGGGGCTGAGAGCCAGGCCACCGATGGTAGGGCGGTTAGGGTGGGGGATGTGGAGCAGACCGGAGCAGGAGGAACGGAGGGTACGGGCAGGTAAGTAAAGTTCAGTAATCTGATCACATGAAGTAATATGTCCACGCAAATAGTGACATAAGAATAGAATTAGATTTACACATTATAAATATCTGACTGAACAATTTTTAAACTCAAATTATTTTTCAAGAAATAAATAGAATCACTACTTAATAATGAATATAGTATTCAAATATTGAAAATATACCTTTACCACTCCAAGCATGTTGTCCATTCCAAAGGGTCACAGTGAAACCTTTTCCCAGGTCTGTCTCCCAACTGATATGAAGATAATGCACAAAGTCTGGCACAGAGAGTGGCCAAATCCTGCAGACATGGCTCTCCATTCCTCTTCTGCCTTTCAAATTTCTGAAAGAGGAAAAACAGAATGAAAAAGGATAGCATCAAAAAATCCATTCTCTGTCAAAAGATTACACATTCAGACATGTGTCACTGTGATATTGGTGTTCCAGGACATTCACGGCATCGACCTACTGTTCTGAAAGCCCAGATTTTTTTTTAGAATATTATACTGAATGTAATTCCTATCAAGTTATTTTTTAAAATGAACTTGTTTTTATATTGCATTTGTATTTAAAACTTAGTTGGGTGCGATAGATTGATTAGACATGCAACCGTAGAAATTTATACCATGGAAAGAGGCCATTAGGCCCATCAAGTATGTGCTGGTTTTGTTGTTGTTGCTGGTTCTTTAAAAAGCAATCTTTTCAATTCCATTTAACTGCCTTTCCCTATATCACTGTAAAGTACTTCTGATCAATCTTTTAATTTATCCTAGATCCTGAACTTTGCTGCAGTGTCCTGTTACATCAGTCAAATTGAGGTTAGATATCTCCAGAAGGAAAGAATCAAAGGCAAGTTCAAAGATGAGCACCCTCCTCAGGCCAGTTTTATGCCAGGTAACAATAACAGCTTCTATCTATATAACTTCCTTCACACAGGTAGCATCTCAGAGTTCTTAAAGTATAAAAGTTAATATGTAGCACTGGCAGATAAACAATAAACTTGCAGTTAATATGGTACTTTTATAAAATGTCTCAACGATTCACAGAGTGACATAATTGTGATTATTTGGGTAAAAGGTAAAAGAAACAGCCAAATGGCAACACCAAAATCCCAACAGATACAATTACACATAAGGTAAAATTAATCTGTTCCACGACAGTCAACACTAAACTCACATTCCTTATTTGTCAGTAAAGTTTAGTGAAGTCTGCCTCAAAATGACAAGAAGAGCTGACATCAAAGAATCAAAAAGCACCGCTGCTATGAATGCCTGGCTGCCACAAGCCAGTTATCCCTGAGGTAACTTTTCTGATATATTCTCCTTAAACTTAAAAAGCCAGAAGAATCGTGAGGTCCCCACATTCACAGTTTGTATTCATTTTGAAAATCAATATCAAGCGAGCTCTTGCCCTTCTGCTACACAAGATATTTTTGTCCTCCCTGAGTTCACCTTAATGGCCCATTAATCGTTTTTCTGGGTTAAGGAGAAACGTTGATGGAAATACTTGGAAAATTCATCGCTCTTCAAAAGTCCACCTGAACACCTGTCAGAAAAGGAAGGTGGAACCCTCAGTCTAACATCTCATTCGAAGTGGAGCATCTCCAACAATACGGCATTCCCTAAGTGGTGCACTGGATGGCGATTTCAAGTCTACATTACAAATTCTCATCTTAGAAACCATTGTAAGGTGTTTGATGACGAGAACAAGAAAAGGCAAGATGACAAAAAAGCAAAATAATTCCCTCCCGTTTTTTGCTCTTTTATGCACACTTCAACAAATAATCACCACAGAAACTATCTTGAGAGAATTACATTACCTTCACTGACTCCTAATAATCACTTCTACAGTTGTCACAATAAAAGGATAACTTTACTTCCTTCCCCTCCCACAACTGGTACAGAACACATCTATACAAGACTCAATTGTCTCATCATGTGGGTAATTATTAAACTTAAACAAAGAGGTACAAAACAATCACACAAAGAGAAAAGGGCCAAAAATGTAATTGCTTATATGTCCTCATTCAACTAGAACAATTTACACTCACGTGGCTCCTTTCCAAATAGGAAGAATGCCTCAAGGCGCTTTACAAAAACTGCGTGGGAGCCAAACCTGGGAGGGTAGGGGGGACAAGAGTGTAACCAAAGCTAAAGAGATTTTTTGTGTGGAGCCAAGTGTGGGAGAAGAAATAGAGTGGGGAGTTCTGGATGAAGGATTCAGCTGGAGAACCAGAGAGCATGGTACTGGAAAGGTCAAGTCTGGAGGTGACAAAGTAATGACAAAGATGTGGATAAAGGATTCACAGGAAAGGTGCTATCTCAAATGCAAATTACTAGTACATATGATTAATATAATTAATTTTGAAATAGTTTCGATTCTCATTGTAGTGTTCAGAACTACCGCCATTTCTATGACGATATCAGCACCTTCTATAAGCATGTACATGACACTGAATACATAGCTGGTTGAGCAACATTAAAAGGCAATTTTCTTCAGTGGCATACAGGTACGAATGCATCCACAACAGGACACATTTATTGATGCACAGCTATTTCAATTGTGATTGGACAAAGAAAAAACATAAGTGAGAAAACAATGCAAACAATGCAAACTATAGTTCTTGATGTCAGTGAACAAGCCTTCACTGCATGACAAACAGCAAATCGTCTATCAGACATCCTCCTGATGTAAAAGGTGTAATACCAAATGCAAGGATTATTATAAGTGTCAACTCCCTTGGTCTCACGAAGCACATGCAAAACAATGGAGTTTCCTGAAGTGCATGGCCATGCAATGAGCAGCAAAATTCAATGTTATGATTAACTGCAGTGTGTCTTAAAGCATTTCGCAAGATATACTATAACAACAACTTACACTTATATAGCATCCTCCCACGCCAGGCGGCGTCTCAGAAAGCTTAACAATGGTGGAGCCCAAGGCCGAGCCAAGGGGAAGGGGAAGGTGACCTTAGGAGCAGTCGAAAAAGAAAGTCTTCAGGCATGACCTGAAGATGGGGAAGGAGGGGGGGGTGACGGGTTTGAGGGAGGGAGTTCCAAAGTTTTGGGGCGAAACTTTGCCTTTTAATGTTCTACTGTAAAGTGGAATCACTCTGTATTTTGTGGGCGAACAAATTTGTATTTCAAATTTAAAACACGCAGGTGGCTTCTGTGTCCAAATATATAAAATTTGTATTATTTTACGTTCCCCTTCCCTACATTATTCAAGGTCCTCATTCCAGATTTAAAACAGATCTAAGACTAGAATGAAACAAATCTTTCCATTGCTTCAAAAGCAATAAAAATACAGTATTACTTAGCCCTGAGGTAACTTTACAGTATATAGTGTAAGGATTATTATTATTATTATTATGTTGAATCTTACATACATTTACATTTTTTGCACTGGGTTACCTGCATAAAAATGGACACCATTTCTTAAGTTTAAGATAATTTAAATTTCTCACTCTTTGTACAAACCCCCAACTCATTTTCCCACGAACATCTTGATTATTTTCTCTCTTTACATTCCACCCCAAGAGAACAGACAATTTGCCAGACATGAAGGAGGGCAGGTGATGTGTTTCAAGGCCTTTTGTAACCAGCTGTTAGGAGATATTGGCTCAATTCCCTGCTTCTGTTGGTTAGTGCCTTGATGCTACCCTGAGAAGCTGTCTGAAACCAAACCAAATTCCCTCATTCCGCACCAACATCCTGCATGAATAGACCTTTTAAATTTACTATTTTTGTTTATGAATTTTATGTAATAATCTTAGAAAGAATTTCAGTACATCTTTAATATGCCAGACGATGTGCTCATATACTCTCTTTCACGCCAGGTATTGTGTTGAGGCTGGCACTACATGATCCGTAATGGGTACTTCAAGTGTATGAATTGCACCTTTGTCAATTGTACTATACTTACTGACCAAGATGGCAGTTAGCCAAATCAATGTGCCAACTGACAGTGCAGGGCATCTCATTAAAGCCAAAACATGCAAGAGTCAAACCTGACCAATATGAAAATCTATTTTAATGTTATTATTATGCGCAGTAAACCAGCATGACTCCAAAAATTTGCCACATGCTAAGTGCCTCACTTTCCGTTTTAGAGTGAATTTTATTGTGAAACTGGTATTTTTTTTTGACTTCTATTTATTTTAGAAAATCAAAGTTAAACACAAACTTTCATGCAACCCAACAACAATTTACAGTTATAATAGTGCCTTTCATGTAGAGAAAACAACTCAAAGCGCTTTACAAGGACAGACTGCGAACCAGTGAGATTTTTATATTTTCTGAGATTTCATTTTATTAGAATACCCCAAAACTTGGAAGACACACAAAACTATCTGTGAGATTCATTGCATTACAAAATGATTAAAATACATAATAGTGGAGTTAAAGAACTGTCCCATCAGTGAAAGGCAACAATACCTACAAAGGGACTGAAAAGACAGAAAGAAGCACTATGGCTGGATTACTGGGTTGATTGTAACTAATAAAGATCATAACACTAAACCTAATGAAACAAACAAAGTGCTTGGAGATAAACAGCTTAATTCTCAGCTGTTTAGGGTTCTGAATAAAGCTAGTGATTTACAAGCGTGGGTTGTGGCTAGATTGCTACCACCTGCAGACTAGTCTCAGATCTCACATGGTGAGGTGCTGATATACAATGTGACCTCATGTGCCCCAGGGAACAAAATGCTGGTTATCTTCTAACTGCAATCAATTAAAGTGCCTTGGCATTAGGCTTTATAGCGATGGGAAAAGATTGACTGTCCCATTCATGGAAGGCAAATAAAAGAAGGAAGATAAAGAAGGCTATGTCAGTGGTCTCTGAAAAAGGATCCACTGTAAGGCTTCATGCAGGACGAAATTAGTTCTGTTTTGATTTAATCAACATTATTGTGAGTATGTATACAAATGTGTTAACCTAAGAAAGAAGAAATTTGTTTTCTATCTTTGTTTTACCAAATCACTGGAACAAAAAGGAAATAGCTAGAATCAATCAATATGAGATAACTTTTCAAAACTATTTGAGAAGGAATTTTTAAAAAATCATAAAATCAGTTCATCGTCCATCCTTCAGAGAGCAACACTAATTATACATTTAACAAAATGCAGGCTAACAGATAATATTAAGAAAATTAACAACAGTGAATTTTGACAAAATATGAAGTTGTCTACTTGAATATATACTACATCATTAATTTCCAACCAGAGCTTACAATTTAAGGTTGTAGTGAATCTCACTCAAATTTGTTAATGATTTACAGTTTGGTTAAATACTAACACATTAATGTGAAAATGGATATTTTTGGGAAGAAAAGGAACAAGA